CAAGATCCTAGAAATCAATCCTCCATTTCGTGACCATCTTCTAACTCCCTATTTAACAGACTTTCCTTATGAACAGTTTATAAACCATCTTTTGCATACCTTAAGCCTAACCCACATGTCTTAATACTTGCATTTCTTTAATCCATATATGTAATACTACTATATGGCTAATGGGGCGTGGTTTGCGGTCGAAACACTACGGTGCCGCCAATGCTAATTCTAATCAGTGGATAATCACTGATATCAGTGCCAAGTATGCCACTATTCACTAATCACCCAGTGACGTATTTGGCACTGGATAATCAGTGAAGTTCAATTTAAAAAAAAGGTTTGAGCATTATACATCCTAAAATATTGATATTTATATGTTAATTTCAATTTTCTAATACTATATTCATTGAATTTATCCACTAAAATAAGATTAATTATATCACACAATAAAGGTTAGCTAGGTTAGGAATTTCACATTTCACCCACTGATTACCAATGGCATACTTGGCACTGATATCAGTGATTATCCACTGGTTCAGATTTAGAGAGTAATAAACTATTGCTAACATCTTGTTTTGTATTAAATACAAAGTAACTAATTTTGCTTAATAAAGCTCTTGAATTTAACGCGGCGCCTGCGCATTTGAACGATTGAACATCTACTATCCTTCTATGTTTCTTCTTGTCGCACTCATATAAACCACGCCCCATTAGCCATATAGTAGTATTACATATATGCTTTAATCCCCCAATGACTCATGTTGCATCCCCGTAAGATACCATCTTTATGAAACCCTAATCAATCTCTATCAAATTCACAAACAGAATAAAATATTTAAACTTAGATTCTTATTCTCATTCTTACTCAACCATAATCCGGGTGGCACCCAATTGGACACGGCTCAATTGGACACGAGCCACTCACAGCGCTTGAGACTACAAAGCTCCTAACCATCGGTCGCTGTGATGTCCAATCGAGCCGTGGTCAATCGGGATCACCCCCATAAAGACATAGAGGTACGTACGTTAATTATTATTCTAATAATTATTGTGTACTTTAATCTGAAAAAATGTATATCATTCGTGAGAAGAGACGGATTGTGAATATTTGTGAAGAGCAATTTTGCGAATTTGCAGAGTGCATAAAGACATAGAGGTACGTACGTTAATTATTATTCTAATAATTATTGTGTACTTTATTCTGAAAAAATGTATATCAATAATGGAAATATATACAGATTAGTAAAAGAATTCTGGAAAAGCAAATATAACCTCACTTTATTAAGTTTTAATTGTAATTGAAAGAGTACTAATGATATAATTATATATTATTTATTATTATATTTTACAGAAAATTGTTAAAGCCTTATTTGTTAGATTAGTTCAAAATGTTATTTGTATCGTTTTTCGTCAATTTGAACTAAATATTATAATAACAATCTTTTTATATTTTATTATATATCTACATATAAATTATTAATTTACATAGGAAACATATAAATATGGATATATTTCTCTTATGGAATATTTTCTTTAATAATGAGGACAATGAAGATGACGATTGGCAAATGTTCCGTATCAGAGAACCACATTTAAAAATTAATAATTATTATGAGAATATTGTCCTTCTATATTCTGTCATAGGTAATGATAAAATTTTTATACATTATTTGTTTAAATTTTATATAAAATGCTATTTACACAGAACAAAATAGTCACTGCATATAAGTCTATATTCATAATATACATACTTACAACGATGTTAGTATTGCTGGACAGGGTTAAAAACTATTCGGTGACGAATAGCATTAAATTAAATTAATTAATCATGATAAAGAGATCTTTGCTCTTTTTATTCTGATTAATTAGTTCTATGCGCTACTGTACTGGTCGATTTACTGTACTGGTAGGATTTTGAGAATTTCAAAGCCCAGAGTTCTAACATTATTGTAAACGCGTTTTAAATGTTTCTCATAAAATACAAATCTTGTATATTATTAAAAATTTAATAACAGTTGTAATACTGAATATACGAATATGTGAGAATTACTAAAAGAATAGTAAATTGTAATGCATAAGGACATTTGAAAATTAAGATAAACATTTGATACATTTATACAGTTTATTACACGTCACAATTGAATAGATGGGTACAACAATCAAATAAAACATGTTTATTTAATGTATCAATAAATATATTTTCTTCCATCACTGTATGTACACATGTTTATGTAATTGTGAAACTTTCTACACTATTTTTATATTTTTTCCTATTTTATAGATTTTAAATCACATTTTCGTATTACCAGAACTACGTTTGAGCACTTAATGCAAGATCTTGGACCAGCCATAATTGAAAGGCATAATTCGCCTTCCACACTCTTTTCTGCATGTAATTCTTTTTATTTATGAACGATATATGGTCACTAACTTCATGTATTAATAATTTTGTGGTTTCTGCAGTCCAATAAAATCTGTTTTCTGTGGAAAATATTCTCATTAAAATAATATAAAAATATGTTTCTTATTCCAAATATATGTAGACAATTACTAAAAAAGCTAAAAATATATATTACTTAACGTTCTCTCATAGAGAACATGGATGCCTTTCAACAAGCGACATAAGTAAAACAATGACCATTTCATCTTTGTTTAACATTGACGAACAAGAATGTAATAATTCATTGTGTCACATCTGTGTCGTTGGAAGGCATCCTATTTTTATATTACACCTACCAGAAAGATTTTGCTCGAGAGATCTGTTCTCATTCGCATCCATTTTAAAATAATGGCAAATCTTATAATTCTGCAAAAATGTATATTTTAATTAAATTATAAAAACTTAATAAAGTGAGGTTATATTTGCTTTTCCAGAATTATTTTACTAATCTGTATATATTTCCATGATTGATATACATTTTTTCAGAATAAAGTACACAATAATTATTAGAATAACAATTAACGTACGTACCTCTATGTCTTTATGCACTCTGCAAATTCGCAAAATTGCTCTTCACAAATATTCACAATCCGTCTCTTCTCACGATCCGTTCTCAATCCGATTACTTTGAGACAGTCATAAGAATCTGTAAAAAGCACACCGAAACTATTGAGAATAATGATGGCAAAGTCAACCGATCACTTTGTAAGGGATTCGGGGAAAATCAGGATTGCTTGAGAATAGGTTATGAGAACTTTATTGCCTCTCTCTGAAGTACAAGTCGAGACTTAAGCTAAGACTCCATGTATGCGGTGAGCTGCGGTGAGCTCCGGCAAATTGCTGCGATGACCAATCAGGAGCCAGGCGCAAGTACGGCTGCGGCAAGCGCGGCATGCCGCACGGCACTGCGTCAAGATCAAAATATTTCAATTTTTCCGCAGTTAACGCATGCTACCGCACATCATTCGGCTAAAGTCGGGAATCGTCGAAGATTTTCGGAACTTTGAAAATTACTGAATGCTCACAGACTTTGACTACATTCCGTTGTGTAAGTACTGAAAGATTAAATTTATAATTTAATTATTTATAATGAATGTTATGTGTATATTGTGCGTGCGTTTGTGTGTATGTGTAACGTGAAGTATCAATTTTCAGAACTTGCAGTGAATTTACGGAGAACTTTTGTAGGTTATGTTGGGTTCTGTATAATTTGTATGAAACAAACCAGCTAACAAGCATGGAATTTACCAATGATGAAAATTCATCGTATATGGAATATAATTGTGAGGATATCAATGAACTTATAATTCACTACGTCAGAAGCCGTCCGCAATTATGGGATTTTAAAAACAAACAATATAGAGATAACGTTATAAAAAAAAAATTGTGGTGTGAAGTGGCTCAAGAACTTAATATGACTGGTATGTATTGTCTCAATAACATTTTTAGTATTTCTCTAAAAAAAATGTATTGTAAACTTCTTAACCCTTTTCGAAAAACATTGATTAAGAATACAAACTGAATAAAGTTTCTTGAGTTTTTATTATAATTTTAATATTATAAGCTATATTCTCTTGAACCAATATCAGTATTCATCAGAACAAAATAAAATTAAACTAAATCCCTATTCGTACACAACTGATACGTGAGAACATAACTCGAAAGTAAGAAAGCTTTTATTGGTCATAGCCAGATCTCTGTTCTGAAATTTTATGTGTGAATTTATATACATTTTCAAGTTCATGAAACGGTGCGCCAATAATTTTAAATTCACACATAAAATTTCAGCATGGAGATCTGGCTATGACCGATAAAAGCTTTCTTAAAATAAAATTACTTCTAAAATTGAAATCATTTATAAACATGTTCTTACATATAAAAAATGTATATGTTAACAATAATAAAAAATTATGATGCATTTAAACAGATGAATTTGTAAAGAACCGATGGAGGAGTCTTCGATATCGATATATAAAGGAGAAAAAAAGTCTATAACAAAAAGTGGACAAGCAGCTACTCAATTTTCTCCATGGTCACTTATGGCAAGTTTAAGTTTTTTATCAGATGTGGTGGAACCTCGCAAGTAAGTGTTACTTTATATAAATATACAAATATTATAGTGATTTTATAGTTGTAGTAGCATAGCAAAATTCATAAAATTTTATTGTAATTTGAATGACCATCGTTATTGTCAATTCCTTATTGTTATAAACAATGTCCTTTCACAAAAAGTAACAATTTTTATTTTATAATTTCTCTATTAGAACTATAACAAACTGTGAAAGTTTTAACATTGAACGCCCCTCACTCATCGATACGTTGTCACCAGCAACATCGGAGACATTTGAAACAGAAGATAATGTGCATAACATACAAGAACAGTTTCAAGGTAAATGGAACAAAAAATATTTGTTTAAATAACTGTATACACAGAAAAATTGTACAATTTATTTTATATATATTACTTATATATCCCGCCTACCACGGGAAATTTGTCCTATATGATACTACATACTTTAATATTTTATTACATATTTTTAAACATTATTTTACAGTGGACAATACGTGGGATACTAATACCAGACAGCCAGAACAAACAGAATTCTGTTCACCGCATAATTTCAGATCACTGTCTCATTCTAATAGCGCCTTGTCTCGTCCAAACAGTGCCTTGTCTCGCCCTAACAGTGCCTCGCCTCGTTCTAATTGTACCTTGCCTAGTCCTGTAAGAGCTCTATCTCGTACTCCGAGCATTTCACCTGGTCCCTCGAGTGCATCATATCTTCGAGACAGTGCCACGCCTCCTCTGAGAGCTACATCTCGTACAGTAGATAACCAACCTCAACAAAATCAGATCCAACCTGCAAAACGAAGTAAATTTATTGTATTTCTTTATTTGAAAATACATGACACACAAATATAGAAATAAGCTAAGCTCCTAAAGACCGATAATAATATATTTATATTATAATAAATTTTTGTTTAAGTTCAATAATTTAAATTATTAAACTTGAACAAATATTTAAATTACGTAATTAAGTTTATGCAGTGCTTCTATTCTATAACTGATTTATTTGAATATCTTATTTATACAGTGCGTTCCTAGCAAACATAAAGTTACATGTAACATACATGTTAGTTACAATTTCTCACTCAACAATATAAATGTAATATAACGAGTGTTGAGTGGGAAATTATAACTAACAGGTACGTTACGTTTGCTCGGTTAGTATTTAGTTTCTTTTCTTTTTTCAGCAAAAAGACAATTATCTGATACGCACATAAATGCGGTTGATGAGGCAATTTTAAACTTGGTACAAAAACGAAGTTCGATTGACACTATGAATTCGGACGATCTTTTCTATTTGTCTATATCGCTGGATTCACAGCATCTAAATGTAAATGCGAAATTACGTTTGAAAACACTTGTATTACAAGCGCTTTCTCAAGTTGTAACAGAAGAACAAAATAAAATTTGATGGATTGCATATTTTACAAATTATGTGTTCCAATTTACCTTTTGCCTATTGCGTATATGCTTTCCGTTGAAAGTTAGAGCTTATTCCATTGCCAAGGTACTTCGCCTTCTTTCATAAAATAGTCTGTGTACATTTGTCGAATTACTTTGGCATCATTCGCAGAATTTCTTGATACATTTGATGCAAAACATCGAAGTGCACCAGGAGGCTCTTCGTTTCGCCATTGACTAGCTTCTACGTTTCCATAGCGATCTTCTGAATCTACAAATCCTACTGGAATATACCTTCTTTGACCAGGCAAAACGTTCAGCTCCGCATTTCGAAGCCAATTGTGCAGTACTACACAACATTTAACTATGTTATTTACAGTTGAAAGTGACGCAATAATCGGCCGTCGGAATATTCTCCACCTGGCTGACATTACTCCAAACGTATTTTCAATTGTACGTCTTGCTGAGCTCAAGCGATAATTAAAAATAATTTTTTCTGGACTCAAGTTAGTACCAGGGTATGGTCGTAATAAATTCTTTAACAACGGGAATGCTGCATCACCAACAAATACTGCAGGAAGGCAAATATTTGTACCCGGTAAGG